TCTAAATCATTTTTCAACCTTTTAACTCCATACTCAAAATTATTATTATTATTACATTCAGTCTATTCAATTACTTATCACATGTTTATTTTGAGTCACACTTTAATTTTGGGTTGTTCACTCCTATAGATTAGTAGGCTCATTGAAGGTTGGCCATTTTCCAATTATAAATGGTACCATGACCCTAGGAGGTGCCGGATAGCAGGTGTAAGGAATTAGTGGTAATGACATGTAAACTATTTTTGTCTTCTATATGGGTTAGAGTTCCCTTATGCCCTATTAATAAAATTTTGTAGTGTTGACTTTAAAAAAAAAAAATTTGCCGCACTTTTGTCTAGCTCTATTATAAAGAAAATAATAAAGATTAAGAAAATATATTTATTATTAATTAAAATTTTATATGGATTCTCTCTGATTTGCAATACCAACTACATCATAGTGTAAAATGAAGACAATTAGATAGGAGAGAACCCTAATCTTATGGAGTTCACCTACTACTAGAAAGAGGGACTTATTCAGTCAAGCCGAATAAATAGGAATTTTAGCCAAATAAGAAGTAATGTTAATCCGAATATCCAGTGTACGAAATAATAATTTGGACAAATTTTCATCTTGACCGAAAATGTTGGACAATTTTGGTCAAAAAATTTGACCGAAAATGTTATTAGGAAATATTTTATTTTAGACTATTTCGGTCAAAATATTTAACTGAAAATGTTATTAAGAAATATTTTATTTTAAACTATTTTGATCAAAATATTTGACCGAAATATTATTTTCAAATTTAAAAAATTAATATATTTGTGTAATTATAGAATATATATAATTCCTTTTTTTTATATAATTACGAAATGCATTTAATTAATATATAAAAATATATTTATTTTATTTAAATTCAAATATATCAAAATTTTAAATTGAATATTATGCAACAAAAATCAAAATTCTATAAAAATATTTAAATTTAAGCTAAATGGTGTAGACTTAATTACTAACTCTTTTTTTTTTTTTTTTGTTTCTCCATCCCGCTTTACTGGAAGGTTCTGACGATTTTGTTTTTGTTGATACTGGGTTACGCGATTGCCCTATCGCCAAGAAATAGTTAATCACAAATTACAAACTAAATGGGAAACTTAAGGAAAAAGAAAAAATTATAAAATTTTAATGAAATAAAAAAATAAAAAAAATAAAAGTACCAAATGAGATGTGTGTCCTAAAAATGCCTTTAATTTTTATTATAAAATCTTGTAAAAATAAAATTGACATCAATATTAATTGAAACAAACTTGTAAATCGTAAAGGAAATAAACTAATAGGATTAAAATTAAAGGAACAAAGAAAATGAGAGAAATTAAGGGAGATGAAATTAAAGGAAGGAATGTATGAGGGAAAGACAATGTGAGAAAATGGAAGAGAGGATGAGGGGAATGAATGAAAGAAAAGGGAAAGTGAAGAAAAGAGAAGATGAGAAAAGGGAACAAATGAAAGAAATGATGGAAGTAAAGAGAGGGGAAGGATGAAAAGGAAGAGAAGGATGAGAAAGATGAGTGTGGAAGGCGGAATGAAGGGAAAAGTAGAAAGAAAGAAGAAGGAAATGGGTAAAATACAATTCAAAGTGCTTGAATTGTTTTTATAAGATTTAGACTATTTCAGTCAAGAATTTTAACCAAAATAGTTTTGACGGACAATTCAAAATGTTTTACTTAATTTGTAGAGTCAAAATGTTAATTTTGGATAAGAATTTTCACTGAAATAATTTTGGAAAAAAATTTAAGAAATTTTGCTTTGTTGTTGTAACCAAAACAATATAATTTCGGTCAAGCATCTTGTCCAAAATAGTTTTCATAGAAAATTAAAAAAAAATAAGGAAAGAAAGTGCAATGTTAATATAATTAAAAAAAAGAGACAATTATTTCGATCAATATGTTTGATTGAAATAGTTTCATAGAAAATAAAAAAAAAAGGGAAAAAAAGTGCTATACTAATACAAATTTTTTTAAAAAAAAGTTATTTTAATCAAAATTCTTGACCAAAATAATTTCATAGAAAATTTAAAAAAACTTAGGAAAGAAAATGCCATACTAATACAATTTTTTTTTTTAAAGGAAACAATTATTTCAATCAAAAGTTTTGACTGAAA